CTGACAGCTCAGAGCCTGGAGCCTGCTTCGGATTCTGTGTCTCCCTCTCTCTCTGCCCCTAACCCACTCGCATTCTATCTCTGTCTCTCTCAAAAATAAAGAAATAAAAATTTTTTAAAAACAATGGACAAGTGTTATCCAAGAAGTTAAAATATTGTTTCTGTAGAGAAGCATTTTTGTGTGCACGCTACTTTTTTTTGGTAAGTTTGATTGGAAGGGAGAGGCAGTGGGAGATTATCAGAGAAGAGCAGCTTTGAGGCAAGGCTATTTATAAAGATTCTGTGATATATCTGTCATAAATATATAGAATCTAAAATCTCAGAAAAGGAGGGGCACCTGGGTGGCTCAGTCAGTTGAGCAAGTTGAGTGTCTAACTCTTGATTTTGGCTCAGGTCATGATCCCAGGGTCGTGGGATTGAGCCCCGTGTCAGGCTCTGCACTGAGCATGGAGTCTGCTTAAAATTCTCTCTCTCTCTTTTCCTCTGCCCCTCTCTCCCACTCACGTGCTCTTTCTCTCTCTCAAACAAAACAAAGTAAAAATATTAAAAATATATAAAATAAAATCTCAGAATGGCAAAGAATTTAGAGATCATTTAGTCTAACCTTGGACTCATTTTACAGAGAAGGAAACCACACTGGAGAGAGAAGTGTCTCGCCCAAAAATAGAACTCAGATTTCTTAACTCCCGGATGGTAATGAATTATTAATTATAAATAACTGTATATAACTTGTTTGATACGACCTTTGTTCATTAGGAAGCAAGCTATAGAGTAGACATGTCAGCATCTTTCTTGGGCAGTTCCCGAATCCCCATTCTGTGTCTGATCCCCATAATTCAGTGTAGTATGTATCTGACACAGACTGGGTCTGGCAATAAGGAAACAGCATTCATTTTTCAGTCTTGGATCTCAGCATAATTTGATATACAATGCTGACATATAATGTATCCTGGAAAGCTTTAAAGGATGGTATTCCAAGAACTGGTATTAGTTTAAAAAACTTAAGTGTTTTGTTTCTGTTTCACTTTTTCACACATCCATGGTTTCTGGGATAAAATAGAGGTATTTCACTCCAGTGGGTTAAGTGGAGGAGGCATTCTAAGTGGAGGGAAAAGTATATAATCACCCAGAGGTTTGAGACCTCATTGGGTATTTGGGGTCCTTTCAGAGAGCCTGACCTTCTCTCGCCTATGGACCTTGGACTTTAGTTTGAAGGCAGTAGGGAACTATTAAAGGAAGAGCAGGGTTTAGGGTATGAATATAGTTGCTTTTAATTATTATTATTTTTTATTTGAGAGAGAGAGGGAGGGAGAACATGAATGGGTAAGGGGCAGAGAGGGAGAAAGAGAGATGATCCCAAGCAGGCTCCATGCTGAGCATGGAGCCCAACGTGGGGCTCGATCTCACGACCCTGAGATCGTGACCTGAGCTGAAATCAAGAGTCAGACACTTAACCAACTGAGTCACCCAGGCGCCCCTTAATTATTTTTGAATCACACAATAATATATGAATACATTCTTACATAAATTGAAATACTAAATCTAGAGATGCCTGGGTGGCTCCGTCAGTTAAGTGTCCGACTTGGGCTCAGGTCATGATCTCATGGTTTGTGGGTTCGAGCCCCACATCGGGCTCTCTGCTATCAGTGCAGAGCCCGCTTCAGATCCTCTGTCTCCCTCTCTCTTTGCTCCTCCCCACCCTCTCAAAAATAAAAATGAAAATGAAAACAAATACTAAATCTAAAGCCAAGGTTCTTTACCCTTCCATCCTCTGGTTTTCCTCAGAGGTAACCACTATTCCATTTGGTGTATATACATACATGCATAGGAGATACAGCTAGGATTATTTTGCACAAGTGTTTTAAAACAGATACTATCCTACCAAAAGATCAATTTGAAGGTTAGAGCTTGGTTTGGACAATTCTGAGAACCAGCTGGCCATCTGTTTACTTTGTTGGTGTTCACAGAGTATTTTGTGAACATTCCAGTTTTTAAGTGAGATTCTCACACAGGGATTGGTGCTGTGGGAACCATCTGGAAGACCCCAACCATGACAGCTGCAAACCCTCAAAGCCATATCCACTGGGTCTGCCTGCACTATGGCCTGCCCTGGGTCAAAAGTTTGCTCCCTGCAGTTGTGCAATTACAGGACAGCTGGAATTCACAGAGATTAAATGTTCCTTGTTCAGATTAGGGAATGGATAATGTGCCTGCCATGTGTTATAGAGCAACTGAGTATCCAAACATGACCATGGGGTCCTTTTCTCAGGGGAAAAAAAAAACATTCATTACTTTGGGTTTGATCTTTTACACTGTAACAAAAGTTCACATGCAACAAAAAGTCTACATAACGAAATGGCTTTTCACTATCAACAGTTGAGTTAAAAATTATTATCAAACTAACAGAATAAGGACTTCTAATTAGGCATATCTATAGCTTAAATCTCATTAGGGCTATTACTAAAGTGAGGTCTGGGGGCGTGGGACATAAGGAAGCCGGAGTTAGGAATACATGTGGATAGATTTATTTATTCTCTCATTAACTCACTGAATATACATTTAGTACCTACTATGAGCCAAATCATGTACTAAGACACTGGTTGAATTACTCTGTTCCTTTTGCCCTAAATTAAAGTTCACAACACACCTGGGGAGACACAAATAATGTAATGGGTACCCATAGTGGTCTTTATGTGCAACCAGTGATTTGCCAGTTATTCCATTCATTAAACTATTCTGAAGTTTTGAAAAAAAGCCACAAGGTTAAAAATCTTCTGTAGAAACATGCCCTATACACTTATGTGGTACTTATAATAAATGACCACTTCCTGGTCATTACACTGACTGGAAATTCTGAAAGAAGTGATGGGGTGGGGAGCCGGAGGCTAACGAGTTACTGTGCTCCTGGGGAATGCATCTGGGATTTGTCAAAGTTCTAGACTAGGACCCAACACTCAAGAGCAGGAAAGCAGAGGTCATGACTAAGGATGCAATTTACTCAGATTCTCCCCTGACCTTAATCCCATAAACAGTTGCCTGGGTAAGGGCAAAAACCAAAGGCCTTTAAAATAGGGTATAAGCTTTCCCTAAAATAAGATTAGGGCAGGCACTTCCAACAGGACCTTGTTGCAGGATCACAAAAAGACTTCAAACAAGATTTACATGTTATCCATCCTTATCATACATTCTTTCAGCAAACTGCAAATGTTTTACTGAGTAATCTCCATTACATTTTGCTTAAGAAGAAAGTTTATAAATATATTAATATTCTCTATTCTTTTAAAGGAAAGTGATGCAGGAGCTGGAGGGTTGGTTGGAGAATGACAGCACAAGTCTGCAAAGTGCTGTGAGGGGTGTTACAGTGGAGGACTATGGAGGGCGACTATGCTCGTGCCAAGAGGAAAAAATCTTGCCAAGCAAAGAGAGTATACAAAGCGCTGCTCACTAAAGCCTGTGACCCAAAGGGGGTCCCCTCAAAGCTTTACGTAGCGGAGAGAAAATGGTCCGCACCTGCTTCCTCCAGGAGGGCGCGAACTGAAGGCAGAGGGAGGTCCCAAGGGGCCAGGCGTCCCCTTCTGCCACTCGCACAATCTCTCCCTCGGTGCCCACATCAAATGGGTGACCTAGAGCTGACCCAAAGGGAACTCGAACCTCCTCCCCGCGCCCTCCACCACCTCCAGGGCGGACGCCGACTCCCAACCGGCAGGATGTACCGAGCCGGCCGGGAGTGTCTCACCTTGGTCTCCATCCCTCGCTGTCGTCATGGTGACCGCCGGAGCCACGCAGCCCCGCCCCTTCCTCATGACGTGGCCCCGCCTCCTCCGAACCCGGAAGCGCGAGGCTCGCGCCCACTGCGCGAACCGTTCGGGAGGGGGGAGCGCGGCAGCTGAGGCTCGCCGGGCCGCGCGCCCCGCCCCTCGGAGGCCCGCCCTCCAGCTCGCCCCCACAGCCCGCTGTGCCTGCGGGTACTGAGCGCTCCGGCAGCCGGCGGTGACCCGGACCCAGCCGCCTCCCCGGCCCGCGCCCCTACTGGAGGGAAGAGCCGCTTTGGGGAGGAGGGAAAGGGACGTGGGGGAGGCCACGGCAGGTGAGGGGTGGGCGAGGCCCTGGAAGCGGGGTGTGGGTGTGTGATGTGTATAGGTTTGCAGGTGGGTGTGTATGTACTGTGTGCGGCTGCCTCTGTTGGTGTGACTTTGTTAGTGTGGCCCCTAGTGGGCCGGTCCATGTGATCATGCACGTGACCGCATGTCCCTCTGTGTATGTGTATCAGTCTGTCTGAGGTCAAGTTTGACTTCCTGAGGTGGTCGTTGTACTGTGACTCTGCCTTGTTGTGGCTTTCACAGGCGGGACTGGGAAAGGGTGGGGTCTGTGTTTGGATCATCTGGGGATGGGGGTGCGGGTCTCTTGACCAGGGCATACTATTGTAATCTGGTCCCGGGGATACACTGCTGCAGCCCAGGAATATGTTTTTCAACTTTTAAGAACTCTGAGCAGAAGCTAGTTATTTTGAAGATTGCACCTCAGCCTGAAAGTGACAAATGTCTTTGTCATTGCTCAGTACCTGGTGTGAGACTTGTGAATGGGGGATGAGGAAAGTAACAGGACTAGAGTGCTTTGCTTTCCTTCTTCTGGCTTTCCTAGGGAGTTATAAATTCTGCATTTATGCTGCTGCTTTGTCTCCTTGTACAATGTTCCAGCTCCTGTTAGCAGCATGATTCAAGAGACCGAGGAGTAACTTAATAGCTGTGTGCAAATTTCCAAGAGCTTTTATACCAAGACAGTACAAGATGAGGTGTCACAGAAGAAATGTCAAGTTGGCAGCTTTTCCTCCCATGAGGTTTAGACAATAATGGAATAAGTTCCTGAAGAAAAGAGGGATAAATGTTCCCCTAAAGAAATCTGGAGGAAGAAAGGATAGCTGTGTACTGGTGTGGTGAGCTGTTGATATTTGCATTAAAAAAGCCAACTGCATTGCCTAGAGACTCTCAGGTCCTAATATTTAGTTACTGCTGGCATTAATAATCACAGACTGTCCATATGTGGATCAACTACAGATTGAGATAAAGGATCCAAAAACCTGTGACTAGTTAATCTGGTTATGTGACTTAAACATTTTTAAAGATGATTTCATTGACTGTAAACTGGCAGGTTCTGTTGAATCCCTGAGGGGTAAGTGCATGTAATTCCTGATGCACACTCACAATTGGCAATTTTACTGTCTAGCACCACAGGGCCAGAGAGGACTGACTGTCCAAAGTACTCCCTGAGGAGGGATTTCTTTAGGCAAGATTAAGGCTGATCTCTGTAGCCCTTTTCCCACCAGCATGAACAGGTGCTTTTGTTTTTGCGAAGAATTGAATTGTGAGAGATCAGATCAGTGTTGAGCTCCTGGTCGACATTCTTTCTTATTTAATACTGACCAGTTTGGTCACAATCTCAGTTAACCTTTTTTTGCCATATACAGAATGTTCCTCTCGTGACTTGGAAAAGTATACCCCTTTAGTGAATGAAAGAGAGCTTGGAGAACAGACTTCCTTTTCATACCACTCACAGCTGCTTTCTCTTTGCAGCAGTGAGTTTTTTTGTTGTTGTTTTTTTTTTTAACTTAGATGTCAGTTGGTCAGATGCAACATTTGGTATCTATCTTACCTTTCATGTATTGCCAAACTAACACAAGTGTTAAAATCACTTGCCTCTACAAAAATTTGGTCACAGTTGGGTGGAATCTCTCCGTCCAGTGAGATTTGTTATAAAATGTTATACTGAGGTGGTTGTGAATAATGCTGAGGACTGTGGTAAGACACATCTTTCTACTTGTTGCTCTGGGAAGAAGTGGATGTCGGTGAATGTGTGTGCCTGTGTATGATCTGTATGTCTATGATAGTTTGGTTTGTACCTTGCAGCTGATTCCAAAACTGAATTAATTTATCCCAAGTCTGGCAAATCTAGAAGCTACCTTTCTGGCTTTAAGTAGCTTAGATGTTTTATAAACCTACTGAGTAGATTCCAGTGGCTTAGATTTTTTTTTTAACATGTTAATATTCGTTAAGAGAAAATGGATATGCAAAGAACAATTTTCTTTATTCCAGGATGAATTATAACTACATCTGTGCACACTGATTTCAGCATAAGACTGGCTAATGATATTCTTGGTACTTTTGAGAACAGCTTATGATTTTAACAAACTTTTCTAAAATTACCATCCTAGCCTTGAGGGAACAGACCATTATTGCAATGTCAAGGTTGTAAATCAAGTTTAATAATGGATGCCTATGTCTCCCATCTCCTTGGGGTTTAGTAACCCCCCCCCAAGATTAGAGGTAACTGTTATGATTGCTAAGTTCCCTGAACTCCTGAGTTGGCAGATGTGGAGGGCCAAAAAGGAGTCCCCAGCTCCTGGCCAGTCCAGAGAACTGCACCTGCTGACCAACCACTCAAAATAACAATTCAGAGTCAGCCCAGGAGGTAAGTGTTATGGTCTTGAACACATCCTAGCCTTGTTAGGAAATCCAGACTTGCTCTGGGGGTAGAGGACAGGATACACAGCAAGTATTTGAATCCTTCCAAACCAGGGGGTGGAAGTTCCTCGTTTGGCAATAAGAATCTGCAACAGGGAGCTATAATTTCAAGTTCCTGTTACGACAATACAGATGCCTGAGCAAGGAGGGGCAGCCTTTCCCTTGAAGATGCCCAGCCATTCCAAAGCTGTTAGATCCCTGGGTCAGAAGAGACTCTAGGATTGCCTGATCCAGTCTCCTTAGGACATAGTCATCCATTTAGTCAACAGATAATGCCTGTTCTGTGCCAAGCACTGTTCTAGGCTTTGAAAATACAGTGGTGAAACAGTCATAGATGGGAAAGCAAGCTCAAAGAAGGTCAGTGACTCTTCCAAGGTCACGCAGCTATAAAAGCTAGAAATCACTAATCTCACCACAAGAGACTGCGTATTTCTTCTAAAGACCCATGTTTTGTTGCTGGTTATAGTGCCTTCAAGCCTGTCCTGGTATTTGATCATAGATCTTTCAGAGGAGGGTATATCACATTTAATCACATCAAGAACTGCATTAAGAACTACATGTGAGGTTCTGAAACTATGTTCTGCTAGAGTTAGATTTATGGCATTTTGTGACTTGATCAGGACGCAGGCTTCTATTACCCCTTTTCTCTAGTGTGGACTGTTCCCTGAAACTCTATCAGACATCTTTGTTAAAATGGATTCTTAAGATACTGTCAACACATAGGTGATGGTACTGCAGTTTGGAATCATTTACCTAGGACAGGCATTCTGGTGTCAGAACACACTGTCCTACCTCTGGTCCTAGCTCTGCAATAGACAGGAGATCGCTGGTAAGTCATTTAAGTTTTCTAGACCAGGTTCTTCATCCGGAGGAACTAAGAAAGTAATTATCTCTCAGGGCCCCCTCCTGCTCTGTGACTATAGGACTTCACCAAATTGTTTTCTGTAGTTTAAGTATATACTGACAAGGTAAAATAGCCCATTTCTTTGGTTTTACCATTTAAAGTATTGTTTTTATAGCTAGACCAGACTCTACATTTGGTTCTGATGTAAACATGAATTCTTGACATGAAACATCACATGCTTTTATTTCAGGGTTAACCTCCATTTCAGCTAATCATGGGAGAGATTAAAGTCTCTCCTGATTATAACTGGTTTAGAAGTACAGTTCCCCTTAAAAAGGTATGTATGGTTTTACTACACCTCTTATTTGCAAAATCTTGTATTGTTTTTGTTTGTGACTTAGATGTTATGCCTTAACAGTGTTTGAGAGTAAAGGTTATTGCCAAATATCAGGAGTCTGGGTCGTAGGGCATAAAGTTCACCCCTTCTTTGTCAAGTGCAGTGAACTCTTGAGACACATTCAAGAGTAAAAGTGGGTATAACTGTACTCATTATTTTATAATTGCTTTTGTGTATTCAAGCAAACAGGAATATGTGTACTCTGTAGATAGTGGAAAGCTTGCCGCAACAGCAACTATATAGTACGTGCAGTCAGATTCGATTATAAAGCCTTTTCCTGTTCCTCAGATTTAAGATTTTCAATGGGCCACATTATAGATCCTCTGTAATGGTAGCCATTTTCAGGAAATCTTATTTGCCTGAGATGTCATTCACAGTGAAGTTTGACTGTCGACTCTGAGTCCCTAATTAATCCCAAATGTTTGGGGATCATACTGGACAAAAGCTAGTTAAGTCACAGAGCAAAGTCTTTGCTGATCCCTTTGCAAAAGTATGAGATGAAAATCATCTATGTCTCTGTTATAATTATTTTGTCAGGGTAGACATCTGTGGAAGTGCCATGCAGGTTTGAATTAACAACAAAACTATTCTCCATATAGAAATTTGAGATACAGTTCTCCAAGTGTAAACAGAGTATCTGCTAGACAACTGGCACTGTTGTAGGAGGTCAGCAGATACCTTATTTCATTCTTAACAGTTTAACAAAGATGGTAGTGATGTGCCCCTCTTGCAGATAAGAAAACCAAGGTCCAGAGAGGTTAACATGTTAAAGGTCACTCAGCCTGGTAGAGTCTGCCCATTAAAATCAAATTAATCTGACTTCAGAGTCAGAAGTACTTGACTGCTTACCAAAGGGAGCTGCCCTTCTTGTTCCCTGGGAAACTCCTGCCCATACTAAATGATAATTGGGTCTTGCAGTCCCTCTACCTTGTCCCATCCCCTCAAATAATTCATGTGCGCTCATCTTGATAGCTCACTTTCTCAGCAAGCTGATCACCAGACCCCAAACAACCCACACTTCTCTAAATATTCTTAGAAGTAGTTATAGGAGGTAGTTTGGTTGATGTGATTTTCTCCAGTTGTGAGATGAGTTTGGTCCACAAGTCATGATAAGTTTGCTTGAAATTTCGTGGTGCTAGATTTTAAATTATCAGATAGATATTGCATCTTCTAAGGGATTTCTGACAAAATTGCCATTCAGAGAACTCTGAGAAAATTGAAGTGATAAACAACTTTTAAGTATTTATGGCTTATATTCAGAACATACTATGTCAATTATATCTCAGTAAAGGAGGGGGGGAGAGAACATGCTATTTTTGTTACTTTTCTCCCAAATAGATTATTGAAATAACGTCCTGGAAAATTTCAGAGATCTAAATATTCTTACCTCATATTAGTTTTATTATTACAAGATTGGGATTTACTGTGTGCACTGTCAAAAGCCATTAAGAGATTTTTACCACAATCATAGCCTCCCAAAGTAAAATAAGAGCAAAATTGTGTGTGGCAAGATGCCAAGGGCAGAAACATGAGTATGAGATATTACTGTCATCGTCTGTGACCTGGGGAAGTCTCACAGGGAATTGTTAGGTTCCTCTGGACTGTGCCTTTTGCCCCCTTTGTCTGCTCCCAGTGATGCCAGTGATCCCAGTCAGTGTGTTACCATCCACAGTGACACCAGGGGCCCACAGCACTGCCAGCTAGGAGCGCTCAGAAAATAGAACCTGGAGGCCTTAAATGTTTTAATGTAAAAGTAGGATAAATAATTGATTTGCACAGGCAAAAGTTCAGGAAGCTCAGGTACTTTTCCAAATATCATGAAAAAGTCAGCCACAGAAAACAAAAAGTAAACTATCATGCAGTGAATAATACTAATATCTAACACTCACTGAAACTCTCCCTGCCAAACTCCACGCTGAGCCCTTGACTTGTCTCAGCTCACTTAATGCTCATCTTTTTTCCCTTTGGGTTAAGAACTACTAATTCAGGAAGGTTTCTGATGCCCTTCCTCCTCCCAACCCTCTTTTCTCAAGAAAACCAGTTTTTTCCTGTGCCCATTCCTTACACCTGACTGACTGGTTTGAAACATTCTTCCAGAACAGGGACACCTACACCTGCTGTGTCCTTCCTCTTTAGCAAAAGTCTCCCCCTCAAAGACGTGGTGTAGATCAGGTTCCAGAACCATCTCCTGAGTGGTACCATCTCTCCCTAGTTTGTCCCTAGAGCCTGGAGTCTTTCCTCCCCTCCGGACAGCACTGGAGAATGACTCTGCAAATTGCCTCCTACACACACACAAAGCCAGAAGTATGGGGAAGAAATGAGATGCCAATTACAGGGTTTACTGTTTAATGGTAAACAAAACAGGCTTTTATAATCATGGATGGGAAGGAAGATGAAAAACTGATTTTAAAAAAAGCTTTATAGTCTTTGGAAGGATATAAGGCAATTTTGTACAGTATGTTAGCACATAGAAGAAGGAAAAAGAGACCAAAGCAGTTATTTATTATACATGCTAGTCTGGTGTGATCCCCAGGGTACCTTGTAACAACCAAGGCGGTGGCATTAAAATTGTCACAGAAATTATAGTGTAAAGTAACAATATCAAACCAAATCCATAAGGTTTTCCATTTTTTTTCTTATAACTTTCCCTCCAGATTATCGTGGATGATGATGATAGTAAAATATGGTCGCTGTATGATGCAGGCCCCAGAAATATCAGGTGTCCTCTGATATTTCTTCCCCCTGTCAGCGGAACTGCAGATGTATTTTTCCGGCAGATTTTGGCTTTGACTGGATGGGGTTACCGGGTTATAGCTGTAAGTATTATTGATTCAGTATTACAGTTCAAGTCCACATTTTTTGGGTTTGGTTGTGTTTTTTTGTTTGTTTGTTTTTTGTATGTGGGTACTTCTGTTCCTGATTAACTATCATAATGGGCTTTTTTTTTTTTTTTTTTTTTTTTTTTTTTTTTTTTTTTTTTTTTTAGTTGAGGTAAGATTGTTTTCCTTCTTTAAAATGTGAAATGAAGCCTTTGGAAGGAAGGCGGTGTAGTACACGGACATAAAGAGATGCAGAGGGTACAAACTTCTATGGAAACCTCAGTGCCCAGCTTTTATGTACATTCTCTTAACTCTGAATGGTAGGAAGCATTGTCCTTGTTTATAGATGAGGAAATGGAGGTCCAGCCATTTTGGTGATCGTGGCAGGCCATGACCACTAGGTGGTGGAAGGAGAACCAGTCTGAGTCTTCTGACTCCATTTCCACTCCTGGTTCATTACACCACTGCCTGCAAGGGAGCTAAATGTGCAATATTATACAGCAGAGGGGTCTGCTGACATTCAGCTGACTGAAAGCTTGCTTTAATGTAAGTCTTTGACTGTTGGGATGGGTCTTATTATAGCCCATACTCTCAGCATTTACTTAAGAAGTTTTTTGTTTCTAATTGTTATTTTATCACTGAGTTTGGTCTAAATCTAGTTTCCCATTGGTCATTCTTGAATCTCTTCTGGAAGAACAGTGTAGGTGAGGAAGGCACCATTGTTCGTGATGCCTCGACTGTGTAACAACGGAGGCTGGCCAGGGGCTCCTGGGTGGCTCAGTCGGTTGAGTGTACAACTCTTGATTTCTGCTCAGGTTTGTGAGATCAAACCTGATCTCACAATCTGCCTCTCTGTCTCTCTGTCTCTCTCTCTCTCTCAATAATAAATAAATAAATGTTAAAAACAAAAAATAATGGAGGCTGGTCTCCTTACTTCTCAGGAAGGAGAGACTCTTGGGCTTTGGAGTTGGCACTTGTTTGCGGGAGCCGGAACAGTAACATGTAAAACAGGTCTCCCTGTGGGAATATTGCTGTTACTGTACATTTTATTTACTATCTGAAGGAGAGAAAATGTGGACCAGATCTCTTTTCTCGGAAGGTAACTTAAAGTTTTACTGGGTTTACCACCAACTGGGGCCACACGGAACAAATCCAGTTCTTCCTCCTGACAGCCCTTCTCGAGAAAACTAGTTATTGTCAGCTTGCTGCCTTCCCCCCAGGTTTTTTCTTTCACGAGAAATTCTCCACATTCTTTGATCATTCTTCATGTGGCATGTTTTGAGTCTCTGCAACATAATCCTCCCTTGTTCTGGGTTTTCATAATTCCTCTTGGTTGACGGCATTTCAGGAAAGCGGGGTGGCAAGCACACTCATCCCAGCCCTCCACAGCCTAAGACACGACAGTGCCTTTCCTGGTAGCCTCTGTTGATCAGCCAGGGAGGGGAAACTGAGCGGCCACAGACGTCTCTCCCACTTCAGATCACTGTCTGAAGTTGACTGTGTGTTTTTTGCTCCAAGCTGGCAAGTCCAAATTGCTTTGCCTTTTGGCTGGATATTTCTTCTTGCCCTCAAGCTTCTTGATGTGGGATTTCATTATTTCATTGGCTAGATAATGAATCAAGAAAGGGCCAGGGGCACCTGGCTGGCTCAGCTGGTGTAGTGTGTAACCCTTGATCTCGGGGTTGTGGGTTTGAGCCCCATATTGGGTGCAGAGATTACTTAAAAATAAAACTTAAAAAAGAAAAGGCCAGTGATGTCTTCAAAGTTACTTTGTCCTTATGTGCCTAACCCCACGAAGTTTGTTTTATTTATGTAGTTATTAAAATGTATGTATTCATTTTTGAGAGAGTGAGAAAGGGGCAGAGAGGGAGGGAGAGAGAGAGAATCCCAAGCAGTCTCCACACTGTCAGCAAGGAGCCCAATGAGGGGCTTAAACCCATGAACCGTGAGATCATGACCTGAGCCAAAACAGACACCTAACCAACTGAGCCACCCAGGTGCCCCTACCTCACAAGATTTTAAAACTTATTACATACTTATCTAGCAGTTGAAAGGTACCAGTCCTTTTGTCATTTACATTTTTATTGAGATAATTATAGGTTCACCTGTAGTTTTCAGAAATGATACAGAGATATCCCTTTTATACTTTGCCCAGTTTCTCTCAATAGTAACATTTTACAAAACTGTAGTCGGATATTGTAACCAGGGTATGATATTAATACAATCCACCAATCTTAGATTTCCAGTTTTACTTGTACTCAGTTTGTGTGTGTGTGTGTGTGTGTGTGTGTGTGTGTGTTAAGTTGTGTACAGTTTTATCCCCTATCTTGGGCATAGATATTTTTAAATTAAAGGCTTCATAAAAAAATATTTTTACAATATAGGTTTCTTTTCCTTTTTGTTTTGTTTTTAATGTTTGTTTATTTTTGAGAGAGAGAGAGAGCACAATTGGGGGTCGGGTAGAGAGAGAGGGAGACAGAGAATCCGAAGCAGGCTCCACGCTCCAAGCTGTCAGCATAGAGCCTGACGTGGGGTTCGATCCCGCAAACCGAGATAGCATGACCTGAGCCAAAGTCAGACACTTAACTGATTGAGCCACCCAGATGCCCTATAATAGCTTTCTTTTCTATCATCCGACTCCAGTTCTCAGATTATCTGCTAGGGAGCAGCTGTTCTTCATCCTGTCAGAATAGTGGAATCTCATCCACAAATGAAATTTTTAATAGTAAAAGTAACATAATTACAACAAATCTAAAGTTATCCTATTATATACATGATAGTATCAATTCCAGCAACTTGTTAATGACAAAAGGAATCTAAGTTCTTAAAACAACTAGCCTGTCAGACAGGTTTTGCTTATTATTAAAGAGAGTGGAATTCTTTGGTGACAAGCTGGAGTCCTCTAGAAAGGAGGTAGTGACTTGTATTTCTTTTCCTCCTCCTCCTCAGCTTTTATAGGCTACTTAAGGTCAAGCACCATACTTTTTTGGCCACAAATAAAGGTACAAGAAATCAGATATGATGCCTGAGTCAATTAAGAAAAGAGGAACAATTTTATTGAATACGCACTTCAAGCAATGCTGCCAAAAAGAGAGGGAATTCTCCTTAGGATTTTATTTCGAGTTCTCCTGAGCCATACTTTTAGAATTAAATTGGATTAAAGGGAAAACAGTATTTTTTTTTTTAATTTTTTTTTTTTAACGTTTATTTATTTTTGGGACAGAGACAGAGCATGAACGGGGGAGGGGCAGAAAGAGGGGGAGACACAGAATCGGAAACAGGCTCCAGGCTCTGAGCCATCAGCCCAGAGCCCGTCGCGGGGCTCGAACTCACGGACCGCGAGATCGTGACCTGGCTGAAGTCGGACGCTTAACCGACTGCGCCACCCAGGCGCCCCGGAAAACAGTATTTTTTCACTTGAAAGGGTTCTGCTCCTATTCACCCTTGAACCTCAGAGTTTCTTAGCTATTTGGAAAGGAAACAGACATGAATTGAAATTATTATTCACATAATATCTCTTGTGTGCTATTCTTTTTTTAAATTGGTCTGTTAGGGGGCACCTGGGAGGCTCAGTCGGTTGAACAGCAGACCAGTTTAGGTCTTGATCTTGCGGTTCATGGGTTCAAGCCTCACATTGGGCTTGCTGCTTTCAGTGCGGAGCCTGCTTCACTCTCTGTCCCCCACTTTCTCTGCCCTTGCCCTACTTACCCTCTCTTTCTCAAAAAATAAATAAAACATTGAAAAAATAATAATAATAAAATAAATTGGTCTAGGGGCACCTGGGTGGCTTAGTTGGTTAAGCGTTTGACTTCAGCTCAGGTCATGATCTCATGGTTCATGGGTGTGAGCCCTGCATTGGGCTCTGAGCTGTCAGCACAATGCCCGACATGGGGCTCAAATTCACCAGCTGTGAGATCTTGACCTGAGCCAAAGTTGGACGCTTGAATTGACTGAGCCACCCAGGCTCCCCTATATTTATTATTAATTAATAATGTTATTATTTCAGTTGCAGTATCCAGTTTATTGGGACCATCTTGAATTCTGTGATGGATTTAGAAAACTTTTAGACCATTTACAACTGGATAAAGTGAGTACCCTAAAACTAAATATTTACATGTGATTTTAATGCAGCATTTACATTGTAAAGCCTGGTATTGTCTTTGTTTTGTTTTTAAATGATACTTCTTTTGAGATATAATTCACATACCATTCAATTTACCCTTTTCAAGTGTGTGAGTATGGTTTTTAATATATTCATAGATAGGTACAATATATATTTATATGTAAATATAAATATATTTTATATATAAATAAATATAATATATTCACAAATAGGGTCAATTTTAGGTCATTTTTTTCACCCCAAAAAGAAACCACATATTCATTATTAGTGACTCCTTACCTTTCTTCTCCTACCCCTGGCAACTTAATCTCCTTTCTGCCTGTGTAGATGTACCCATTCTAGGTATTTTATATAAATGGAATCATGCAATATTCATCTTTTTTTTTTAATTTTCTTAGTGTTCATCTTTTCTAACTGACTTCTTTCATTTAGCATAATGTTTGCAAGGCCCGGCTATGTTGTAGCGTGTATCAGTACTCCACCTTTTTATTGTCAAATAATATCCCACTATATAGGTGTACCCCATTTTATTTATCCATTTGTCAGTTGATGCACGTTTGGATTGTTGCCATTGTTTGGCTATTAGAAGTTACACTGCTGTGGGGTGCCTGGGTGGCTCAGTCGGTTAAGCATCTGACTTCGACTCAGGTCATGATCTCACAGCTTGCGAGTTTAAGCCCTGCATCAGGGTCTGTGCTGACA